CTGAAATGCCAAGGGCGACGAGTGTCTCCGCCACGTCGATGAAGTCGTGAAAACGGTTTTTGACCTTCAAATAGCGGCCATCTTCACGCCATCTGCGGCCCAGCTCACCGCCTCCTCTCACATGAGCGACAGCGTAGAGAATGCCGCGGTCCAAAAGGCAAAGGATGTTTGAGTCAAACCCCGGGTCTTGGCATGCCCCATATGCACCATACCCAGTAAGAATGGTCGGAAAAGGCCCTCCCTGCAGACCTTTTGGGTGTAGGTCTGCCCGGTAAACCAGAGAGATGGGCACCTTTGCGGCACCCTGTGATGTGATTCTCTCTGCCCGGTACAAGCTGGGATTGTAGTGCTCCGGACCTGACTCCTTAATGAGCTTAAACTCGCGAGTCGATACGTGGTAGGTGTAATCACGTCCGGGCACAATGTACGAAGTGTAGTGCACCCGCAAAACGTCCGTCTTGAATAGATCATTGCCGCCCAAACTGACCGAGTACAGCGTCTGTGCAGCTTTCTGCGTCCGCGGGGTGCTGACATATCCGCCTGAAGGCACAACGCGCATAGAGCCGCCCGACAAGTGTAAGTTAATACTTAAGTGGGAGGGGGCAGTAAGCCCAAGAGAAACACAAGTAGAAACAACAGCCGAATGATTTCCCAGGGACATTTTGCAGCCATCTCTGGGAAAAGCAGCGAGTGAACCGGACCCTTTGGGCTGCCATCCTGAACTGTTGGACTGCTCGACTGGGCTTCTGGGTTTTTGGGCTTCGGCTTCCACCGAGAGGTTTCCTGCATGAAAGCGATGCCAGGCTCAATCTAAGCCGAGACTCGGGTAGCAGCATTACAAACACGCAGCTCGCACTGCTCTGGCGGCCTTCTAGCGCCAAGAAGTCTTGGAAGCATTGCACCGAATCCAGCTGTACATGTGGGTCCGGAACCCACAAGTCTTGCCAGCTGCTGCTCGGTCCTGGGATGGACGACAGCTGTGTACAACAAAGCTTTGAATTCTTGGCATCGTCTTTGTCCGTCAAGATGTACAGCATGCCTGAGCGGTGGTCCACCTCGTACTGGATGCCGAATTGCCGAGGGCACACCGAGACCAAGCGGGCATTGGCATCATGCAGGTCCAACAAATACGCTTCGGCCGTTTCGCTTGAGGCCGACTGTATGACCAGAAAGCGGTCGTCGCTGGTTTTGCTCAAACTAACGGAAAAACGTCGATCCAGCTCTTCCCAAACCGTGGTGTCGGAGGACTGGGAAGTTCCCAAGACATGGCGCCGCACAACATAGCCCCTGTACTCGTGGTCATGGCCAATATAGTACATGGCCGCATGGCCGTTTGCTTCCCAGACGATCGAACCATCCGTCTCTGTCAACTCAGCCTCGTCGGTATTCAGCTGGCTTTCCTCCATGTCTGTCGCAGCAGCGGCAGCAGCGGCGCGAAACCGAATGCCATAACTGTCATTTCCCTCGAAGTCTTCCGCATATGCTATGAACTCGTGATCCGCGCTGGGCTCAGGGCCGCAAACCGAAAGGTACGGGCGCGAACCACCCTCCCCATCGTCATTGAGATCGTTTTCGTCCAAGAGAAGCTCCTCATCGAACAACTGCAACCCGACAGCTGTTGCCAGGGTGGCAACATCCGAAGGGACAGGGGTTCCAGGGCCCTGCAATCGTGCACGGAAATGCGCCCCGTAGAGCTCGTTCCTGAAGCCTCTGGTGTAGTAAGCGTAGCCACCTGGATAGACAGATGGGATTCCCACGGACGACTCCTTCTCGTGGCGGCGCATCTCTCGGTACAACTCGTCACTGATTGGTTTGAGCGTGGACAATGCCCTGCTACAGTAAGTGTCCTCATCTTGCAGGAGCTGCTGTACTTCCATGTTTTGATGGGTGTCGTCACGAAGCCAGAAGTAGGGGTCTGCACGGACAATTGGCGGGTCCATGGCATTCAAGCCACGCTCTTCTCCAGGCACGAGGCCACAAAGCACTTGCTGTGGCCGAAGTGGTGGCTGGGGTGGCTGCAGGCCTTCAAGAGCCAAGCGCTTTGCGTCTGCCATCTCCTGGTCTCCCCTGGATCGACATCTCTTCAAGAGCCCGGAAGATGTATCACTCACCGACCCACCGAGAAGGAAACCGAAGTCGACCGGCCCAGACTTAGCTGACAGGTTGGTGCCTGCTTTGAACTGAACAATTCCACCAGCTTGAGAATCGTCGAAGCCAGTTTCAGGCGGCCCTCGGTATGATTCGTCTGCGACAAGCATGTTGTCATCATCCTCGTCATCGCCGTCATCCTCGAAGCCATTAGGCTCACGGAATGTTGCCATGAGCAGGCTAGGCCACTTTTCGTCGCTGTGTGCTTCCGATACAAGATTCTACTGTATGGAGTCAAGGCCATGTGTGGCAATTGCAACCTGGAACGTGTGCAACGGTTTGTGAGGAAACCTCTGCAGGTTAAACAACGCACCCCTCTATGGCACATGATGCCACGTGTAGCTTTGAGAAGCAAGACCAGCACGTCAAACGTGCTGTGCTGAGCGCTGCAGTGCTCACTCTGATCATACTGATCGCTGCCTCCCAGATGTGCCCATGGAGTTCTTTCGCGATGGCCTGACAGTGTCTTGTCCGAAAACCCTGCTGGCTGTGCAACTGCCGCGCATTATGTGGTACCTCTATCAGAACGACCACGCCTCACGCTCTGCATCGCTGCTGCATAGCTCTATGGCTTCCTCCGGTCTGTACCAGTAAAAGCATTTAGGCTTGGCTACCCAACAGTCGGTTAAGATATCATGCCGTGGACTCGGACCCCTCTGCACATCGGTCATGACAATGCTCACTGACCGCGTTTACAATCCCGACATACGTCCTGAACAGCTCGGCTTCCTCGTTGGCGCAGAGAAAGCTGCCAGACATGACCTTCCGTATCTTCCGTAAGGCACATCAAGCATGTGTACTATATATATATATATATATATGGATGGTGTTGCAGTCGGCCCTCGTCTGGGCAATAAAAAAACGAAATTGTGCCTAGGACCCTAGGACAGCTCTCTTGCTGAGAAGTAGGGGAGGTTCACGACTTCATAACACATGACTGTTGTAGGAAGCTTACCGTCACATGGTCCACAGATGCAGTCGAGCCGTTCACACGATGCCTGTGACTTGCGTGCCGACGAAGTCCGAGAGCGTCGCAGATGCCTGAGTCGACATCAAAACAAATACAACCGGATGAACCACCCCAAGAGCACTCCATGAGGCGGCAACGATCGCCAGGTCTCTTGGGCGGCAACACTCTGCACCCCGATGACCCAAACCCATCAGTCTGACAGAGGAGCTTCGCTGGTCTCTGTCTCTGTGACAGATCGAGGCAAGTAGGCAGCCCAAGATGAAAACCTTAGCCAGCCAGGTGCTCCCACAGAGGCACCCCCGCAAATCCCACTAGTCGAAACCTCACCGCAGGTCAGGACTAGACAATGATGAACTAGCTGGCAGCTCCGAGTTGATATATACAGCAAGTACCCCAAGCTTTTGGACATCTTGGGTCTCCGAGACGGCTTAGAAACGAAATGCAACGGCTTGCAAAAGCAAAGAAGCTCGTCCGAAAGAATCTTCAATCGCAGACTCAGCCCTTTTGCGGGCAGAGGCATAATCTTCGCCATGGCGGCCGATGCAAGCTGAGCGCATGCAAGCTGTGTCTCCGGACAGTTGTTGACAAGCTGGCACGAATGCTTCCGAGTTCCGAGCCCCGAGGGCTGCTACACTCGCAACTCGCAACTATGGGCTAAGGGGTTGGAGTTTTGGAGTTAGCGGTTAGCGTAGGGCTGCAATGGTTATGTGTTCGCAGCGCTTCGGGACACGCCTACAACGGGCTACCCTCCTCCGGAAGAGGCCAAAACTGTGCTTGAGCAAGAAACAGTGACAGTAGCAGTCGCGGCTCACTGGAGTCAATAATAGGCGAGCTGAGTATCATTACAGGAAGATGGGCCCGTCGCAAGTGGAGTTCTCAGCCAGCACAACAGCGGTGCTTCCCTGGAGCGTGGCAGATGCGACCCTGGGCTGTTCAGCCCCGCACGTCGCTGAAGACTCGGCGAAGTTGAGCTTCGTCAACAGACCTCACAAGAGACTCGGGCATGCGACTGTGCTTAATGGCCCGACGTGCTCTCTCGTCGGAATGATGCATTCCCGCTAGGCATGCAGGAATTCAAGCCTGCCGTCCCAGCACCAAATCCGGATCTCCTCAAACTCTCATTCAAAGTTCCCATATCGACAAAGTTCCGGAAAAATTGCCGCTCCCGAACCATCTAAGCGGATCAATTGTACAAAAGCTTAGACGTGCAGTGCCCATCAATCATCTGAGCGCTAAACCAGTCCAGGTTTGCAACCTGGCTCGGCACTAAGTCATGTTACCTCTCTCTCGTGCTCTCGCGGACTCAGAGATCTGTAAGGGTACTTACGTACATCAGCTTGCTGGTGGCTGCCTTCAATCTGAGCTTCAGCACTTGAGGTCGCTACACTCAATCGTTGGGAAGCCTGCTGCTGTATTGATACCATCCCTATATCGACTGCTTCCACAAGAGCCCAACACCACAGCAGAACCTCTCCGAAAAACTCCGAGGTCAGGCACGTAGACAGTATGCTGGCCCTCATCCTCAAGCTTGAGGTCGGCAGCCCTGTGAGCGGCAACTGCAGCATTTACCCTGAAGCTCATGAGGTGCGGGGCCCTAAGCGGCGCGAACTTCAGGTTTCTGACCACAGCTTCCGAAGAGAAGCATGAGGAAGCAGAGTTCCGCTGACTACCGGCACCAAGCTCCAGGCTTTTCTGCTAGACGCAGCTGGTGGTAGTGGGAACCTTGATGTGAGAAAAGCCTTGCGGCCTGATCTACACGGCAGCTCCGGAACTGCACTACAAGTAGCAGACCGTGCAATATGTTTTCGAACTCGGCACGGGGGCGTCCGCGGCGTCAGCAAGATGTGACGGAACAGGGAACAGCTCTCTCATGCTCTCTCCTTCACACGATAAGGTTGCTGCAGGCATCGCGCTTTGGCGAACTTTGACCTTCGGAGTCTCCGTCCACGGGTTTGCCAGCAACCTCGAATTCGGCTTAGCTGGACTTGCCCTGGAGGAAATCTCGGAGCGAGGCCACCAGCGACGGTGGCCAGCGCCGAATTTCCGCAACCCATTTCAGATCCTGTGCACACAGGACGAACTGTTGTCTGACAGAGGACACACGGATTACGGCAGCTGAACTGTGAGCATCGTGACACCTGTGCAGGACCGGATGTAGCATTTTCTTTACTACCTTAACTTGCAGCACAAGCAACAAGTCGTTGGCGCTAACCTACTTCCTGCTAATTTACTACGGTCCCGGCGTCACTGTTGCAATTAATGTTCATAAACACTGATTTTACACTTCTTTGATTCCTATAGAAGGCTTTCACACTGAGTTACTTCACACAGAGAGAACTTCACACTGAGCTTCACACTGAGCTTCTTCACATAGAGACTTCACATCGAGCTGCTTCACAACGATTTGTTTATAATAGCTGAGACCAACCAACACACTTGCGACGTTCAATAGATGTATGATCGCTGGAAAGGTGGTTGGTATCTTCTGGCATGATCAACAATCGTCTCTCGTATTGCTCGGTCGTGTTTATTGAAAGGCACCTTCGGAACCGAGACATCTTTTGATGTGATTATGTTCCAAGCTTTTTCCATATTCGTGGTAGTCCAAAACTGTCTTGGACGGCCTACTCTCCGTTGTTCTGTTTCTCTTGGCACAGCAGACTGCGTCTTGAAAGTGGCTTGATGCAACGGATGTTGGCGGTCCCGACGTAACACATGTCCTAACAGCTTTAGTCTCCGTTCTCCGAGAACTTCTGTGAGGGGCTTGATTTTTCGGTGTATGCCCGCGCTGGGGGCATTCGTGACTTCGTTAGCTCTTTTGTACACGTACTCGTTTGTGTTGCTGCGATTTTATTCGTGACTTCGTTAGCTCTTTTGTACACGTACTCGTTTGTGTTGCGGATGTAGCATTTAGTGTGGGCAATGAACGACTCAGTGCTGCGTCGACAACTGCCTCTCGAAAGTAAGCCAAGTCGAGTCACTTTGTAGGATTGGCAGCCTGTGTCGATGTTCTCGCAGGCGAACTTCCACTGCGACTCGGCTTCTGCAATCTTCCGCTGCGACCAGTACGAGGCCGCCAACGCAACATGTGCGTCTGTGACGCCGGGATCGTTCCGCACGACCTACAGTACCCATCAATCACACGGATTCAACAGCACATCGCCCAGAAACACTTTCGCTCTCTCTTCTCTCTGTTTCTTCAGCTGCTTGCTGTTCTTCCTTCCTTCTTTATTTCGGGTTTATGGTGGGGTTCAATCCCGACGCAAGCACAAGCATGCAACCCGCTTCCATGATCCTTGGCGGCATGACACTGCATGACACGTCGGCAATTTGCCCAACATCACTGACAAAACTTACATGTACCTTCTGCGGTCGGACTTCAGACTTCCCAGACGATTCAGATCTCTCGTGCCATAATTTGGACATAATTTGGGGATTAGTTGCGATGAGGTCGTGAAGTGGAGTAAAGTGGGTCCCTCTCAGCTGAAACAGCAGGGGGAAGGAGCCACATTCAAGGTGGATTTTTAGAGGGCACTGTGTCGACAGCAAACGGAAGGAGAGAGACCTAGAGCGGCTGGATCCGAGGTCCCCCGGCTCCACCAAGCGATTTGCAGGAAGATTCGGAAACCGAATCATATATATATATATATAATCTGTATATAGAAACCAGAGATCCTAAGTACCCGTAGACAACAACAAGCTAAGTGTCTGGAAGCTCACTTTCCAAAAATCTCCTCTTATTCGCCCAGGGGCTACTTGCATCACCTTTTCTGCCTCCGCGTCCCTGCCAGCACCAAACAAAGCCAGAGCCTGGGAATGCGGAGCTTCTGCGCAGTTGCTCTCGTACACCGCAGAAACGCTGAAACTCACATTCTAGGACATGTTCAGCTTGACGCGGCCTCGTTGGCACGGGAGAAAGAGGCCTGTCGCACCTCTCCGTCGTTGTCGAAGATTTGTGTAGCTTCGCGGTAGTCTTCCACCGCCTGTCAGCAGCATGAGGAACTGAGTGCCTACTACTCCCTAAACGCGGGAGAAGCTCAAACGAAAGCCAAAGATTCGGAAGCGCAAGTGCTCGTTCGAGCACCTCACAAAATGCTCCTTTTCTGCCGATGGGTCGAAAAGAAACGCGAAACCAGCTGATGGCCTCGACTAGCATTTTGGCTCAAAACGACAGGGCACAACTGTTCTGCCTTGTCCCCGCGAGCTCTGCGTGAAGAGACTCGGTCACGCCTCAACCCCTGCCCAGCCGCTGAAATCAAAGATCAAGAATCAAGCCATCGGCTGAAGCCTTCGCCCTCCCAAAACCATCAGCCCCAACCGTACATACACAGAACTTCCATAGAAAGCTGAAGATCAAGAATCAATGCACGTCCCTGCGAGGCTAGTGCGAAGTCGCATGCCGCATCACAAGTGTCTGAACCGTGCCCCATGCACGCCTACGCGGCTACACTTCGTTTGCCTCGTCGTATCTGCCCAGTTGGCTGAGGGCATTCCCGCGGAAGTTCAGAATCAAAGGATTCATACCAAGACCATCCCCCTCCTTTCAAGATCCAGAAAAGGCTAACTTTGGCAAAGGACTGACATCTGGACGCGGGCAAGCTCTCTGCCTGTACATTCGCTCCTGAATGGTGGCATCGCCCTTCATAGCCTTGTCGGGCCTTCCGTCTTTGGGCCGCAAGGCATCAATCGCCTTTGTGTAGTCTTGCGCTGCACGCGCCCAATTCTTGAGCTCCTCGTTCGCCAAGCCCCTCTTGACCAGTGCATCTGGGTATTCGCCTCGCTCCATGGAGACTCCGCACAGGTCGCTCTACGAAGTCTCACGGGGACCAAACGCCCAGGCCCCAGGGTCCCGGGGAAGGGCGCAGGCGGATGCTAAACACCTTCTTGTTTCATGCTTTTTGTCTGAAGGGGGGAGGGGGGCGGACAATGTTGTTCTTGTCCGATGCTTCTTGTCCGAAGGCCGAAACAGGAGAAAATGACGTTGTTATGGCTGAACCTGACCAGGTCAAGTGATATTGACAAAAATCCGAGAATGCCTTCTTCCGGCAAACATGAAGTGGCACGCCCTTCCATGTTATCCCATTAGACAGAGGTCCATCTTTTTTCTTTTACGAGTAAGATATCTAAATATGTGTACTTTATGTGGCTAAAAAGCTTTCCGAGCGCCAACTCCTTTCGATTTCAGCCCTACCTGTTCGGAGAACAAGCATGCGATGTTTTCAAATTTTCCTGCTTTCAGGCCACTGCAAACCTGAACCTAAATTTCAATAGTCGGCAGTAGCGAATCCCCGGGCCCTGCCACTGACACTCTGCCTCGCCCTCGGTTTTGGCCGCCTGGTCCCTGCTGCGGGACAAAACAAAAGTTTTCTTCGTTCGTCCAAGCAACTGTACATGAGCTTGTCGGGATTCCGTCGCAGGTCATCCTCCATGATTCCGATAGCAACATCGTAATCCTCAACGGCGCCTTTTGCCTTCTCCGGAAGACTGCCGCCGACCATGTCGTTCAGTGCTATACGCGCCCGCGCCCGACCAAGTCTCAGCCTCGCCTTTTCTTCCACTATAGCCGGAGCTGTGATTGCTCCGCTCTCCCACTTGCTGATCGCCTGGACCACTCAAGCCTACAAGTGCATCTAGCTAGCCGGCGCCAAACGCTAAGATGTCGCGCTATGCAGACACGGGAAAGGTTCGTGCAAATGTTGCCAGGAAGCATTCCCAAGTGTCGCCTCTGCCTCTTCATAAACCGAAGAAGCACTTGGTGCTCGGGGGTCTGTTGCAAGCTTGGCAAAAGCACCGGCAATCTCGTAAAGCTCATCTTTCGTTGCCTGCACTTAACGGGAGGCTGGTGCAACCTTACAGTCTAACAGTAAGTCACTATGTCCATCGAAAGGTAACACTCTGAGCTGCCTTGCGCGGAGCAGCAGCGACTGCGGCAGAGATCAGGATCCGCCGTGGCAGCTGACGTGACAACACGAGCGTACTCACAACCACAACATCTCCGACAGAAGGCATTTCTAAGCAAAACTACGTCCGTAGCCTCGGCTAAAGTGAAGGCCAGAGGCCATAAGGCCCACAGCGGAAGCAGCAGAAACAGCAGGCGCGCTCCTGCTGCTCTGCATCCAGGAGTGGCTTTAACAGCCATCCTAACCGCGAATGCTTATGTGATGTAAGAGTAGCTAAAGATGCCAGACTGCATGTATTTGATTGAGAGTGCCTTCGTGCTGTTCTCCAACTCAATACACATGCCCGCGAAGCCAGCTAGCCGGAAGTCTGCATGGTGTGCAGGCAAACGAAGCGCATCTCTGCTTCCCATAGAAGTCTCTTGTCAAATTCGGCGCACTGGCCGACTTGTTGACGACATCCCCATCTACGCAAGCGCAAGCTACTCAGAGCTCCACCCTTGTGTGGCTCAGCCTTCACTTCCTCCTCGGCATAAATCGCAGACAGATTTCTTGGGCACATCTTCGATGCTTCGTTGGCTCTGAAACGGAATCCGGACACAAACTTTCACCCTCTCTCACTCTGGCTTTCTTGCGGCATGCTCCCGCACCCACGTGCTCTCACTCTCTCACTCCCTCGCACACTTCGATAGATGGCTGCTCAACATTTTAAGGCCTCCACGGGCTACGTCGTCCGTGTCCATGGATGGCACACATACACACACGTACGCACACGCCCCCACACACACACACACACACACGCACACACACACACACACACACACACACACACACACACACACACACACACACACACACACACGCATTTGCCTCTTCTTTCGGGCACTCACTCTCCATCGCACTTTACTTGCTTAGCCAGGCGAAAGGGCCGGAGCAGTGCTTTTCCCTCCTTGCTGCGGGGGATGATGGGTCAATACGTACAACGGGCACCCCTTTGTTCGGAGAGTTTGGAGTGGCTGGCGGAACTTGGATTGGCACGAACCCCACGAACATCACAATCTTTCTCTCGTAGAGGGGCGAACCAACATGCTTCTGTACACCCACCTCTGACTTCCTCTTCCCAGGCTATGCTGCTAGGGTTCTCCCCGATGACTGCCAAGAAGCCGAACTCTCTATGCTGACATGCGAATTCATTCAAGACGCAGCTGACTCTCCGCATCTTCACTGTGGCTGTCGTCAACACAGGCTCCGAAAGGACCATGCCAATGCAACCCATGCTAATTCATCCGCAATTGGACAACGGGGTGCCGTTCAATTTCCTCACTGATTGCTCGCATGCAGTTCCCAACACCAAAACCCCTGGCCACAAACACCTGGGACCACAGAGGCGCCGAACTGAGGCAATCTGTGTGCGGCCCAGGCCTTGCCTTAGCAATTGCAGGTGCCTCGCTCTGTTGCAGTTGGTCGCTCTCTGCCTGTCCATCCTTTCCTCAGGCCATACCAAAGCACGCCCTTTCTCAGGTTTTCGCAGGACGGACGATAAGAAAATGACATTTCGAGGACCTGCGAGAAAGACTCAAAACCGTTTTGGACGAGGCAGCACTCTGCTTGCCACGATCTGTGGGTACCCTCTACGCATGCCGGACCTGCGCCTTCAATGGACTCTTATGCGTGCCCGGGCAGCGTGCCCGGGACAAACCTACATCGGACTTCGGAGATGTGCTCGACCAACACGACAAGCTTGGTGGATGCCCCCATGACACGCCTCTCGTCACTTTCAAGCAGAGCTTCCCCATCGAAGATTTGTCCGCGGGTTGCAATTTTCTCTTTCCCTCTACATCTATATCTATATCTATACCTATATCTATATCTATATCTATATATAACAAACTTAAGACTTATACATACATACATATATATATATATATATATATATATGTCTTTCTCGCCGTTCTGCTCCTTGTGGCTCTCGTCGCCAGCTTCCGTAGCACCCTCCTTGCCGGTGCAGAGCAACAATTGATTCTCATGGCACGGGCACGCTTCTGGGTAGAAGTATCTTGAAGACAGAACTTCCCCACACAGCTCGACGGTAAGCTCTCCCTACCGGTGAGGTGTCTTCCTGGGCTAAGTGCTTGGCCTTCGCATCAGCCATTTCTTCGGCCAGATCAGCATCACCTAGCAAAACTATCGCCAAAAGCTAGCACAGGTTTCCTGTTTGATCGGAGACAATGGCTAAGCTGCGCAAGGCCTTCAGCACTGGAATTGGCAGAAGCGCCGGGAGCCTGCATCAACAGCATGCTAGGCTTGACGCTTTTGCATTCGACTCAAAGATGGGGCATGCTGCTGTACAAGTGGCAAGTCAAGAAACAGGTGGCCAGCAAAACCTGGTCAGAACTTTTGCGTCCCGGAACAGCAGGCATCAGAAACCACCACGACTTGGCAACCCCCTCGTCACACGACAATCAGTGGTCAGGATTTCGCCCAAGTGCAGTGGCTCCCACGGCCACGGATCAGGACCAGTGAAATAGGCCAGCAATTGTTCTAGCTGCATGTACGAGACGCTGGGAAACATCCTCGCCTGCTTTCTGGCCTTTGGTCGGAATTTCAAAACTCTGTCTTTAGAACCAGCACCCGGGATTACAGTAGATCCTGTCCTGCGCGTCGTTTGCCGGCGCCTTGGTTTCCTGCACTCGCATAGAACAGCCGCACACAGGGTCTGAAGTCATTCTGGTCAAACTTACGACAACTGGCACCCACTGCACGGGAAAGGACACCTGCTCTGTCTTCTGTCGCTTTTCCACTTGCCTTAGTTTTGTCACCATGAGCATGGCCCCTATAGCCCGTCCTTTCAACAAGGCAAAGTCCAGCTAGCCTCATGTTCCCAAGGAGTCACAGCCCAGGATTTGAGAAGGCCACCGGAAAGCTTTTGCTTCCTTCGGTCTTTTTCTGGAGACCTTGCCGAAGCATCAGGAAATTAACCACCTCCTCATGAAACACATCTTCCTTTCCAGAGATCGGTCTGTGCAAAGGTAGTTGGTTGGGTACCATTTTAGCACTGTTGTATCAGCTGCAGACTTTGAATTCAGGGAGGTGCCAGCGCTTGAGATTAATTCGCTGGCCAATGACGAGACAATGAAATGAAGCAACCGAAGGAAACCGAGCTGCACAGCGAGACCGGGTCGAAACTCCAAGGAGAACATTTCTGAATTGCAAAACAACTCTGGCAGGGAGGGTCGAGGCGGTCAGCACAGATTTCTCGCAGCAGCTCTCTACACTGCTGAAAGCTATCTGACTGGCATGCCTTTGCCATGTCTTTAAGGCCTCATGGGAGGGTCGTTCCAGCACTCAAGTTGCGGGGCAGGAGACATGGACGAATGTTTCAACGCCGAAGACGACAATGCTGGCAAAAATCGCAAGTGAGCAGCAGAGCCTCTTCCGGCTCACCTTCTTCACAGCCGGTCATGGGCGATGCCTGGACTCGAATCCGTGAAGTGACGTTGGAAAGGCTGCCCATGCACTTCCGACTCGTGCATTATCTTTGCTTTGCTCGGGGTTTAGGGCAGGAGTCGTGCATTCTCTCTCTCTCTCTCTCTCGTTTGTTTCTTTCCGCCGGGCTTAGGGGGTCACGTTGTGACCCTCAAGCTCGCTCTCTTTCTGTCTTTTTCTCTCTGTCTCTCTTCGCTTCGCTTCGCTGGGGTCAGGCTCCAGCGGAGCCCGCGCCAAGGCGCCCCCATTCCCTCTTCGTGAGGTGGGATGAAGCTTTGGGGCCGAAGTGCTTTGGGCTGTTCCCATGCAGTCGGTCAAGATGGTAGCGTCTGCCTGTCGGTCATCCCCCCTCCCTGAACATTATCGCGCGTCCCGGCCTCGTCTCCGCGCTCTCTACAGCTAAGTCCTTAACCCTACGACAGGCAGATACCCCTAGTAGTAACAACGGCAGGTAAGCATTTCCCCTTTGCCACAACAGCGACTAAGCTCAAGACGTTCATGGGAAGTGTGGGGTTCACAGTGCACAAACAGCATGCGAAAAAGAATACAGGTTCATTCCCCCTCTCAGGCCGTGTTTGTCAGCTACTTCGGATCCCCCGCTTTGGCAGTATGAAGCAACAGCGAGAAACAAGCAACCGTGCAAGTAACAAAGACAGCGGGTTCACCTTTCAGGGAGGTGTGGTAGTGTACGGCAACAGTAGGCAAGTGTGGTCCCCCGTGTCGGGGTCCCCCGCAGTGTGTCTCAAGACTGAAAGTTCCCTACATCGGCTGCTGAAAGAGGGTTCACCAGCACTTGCAGGCTGGCTCCCCCCAGGTACGAAATCCCAAACAAGGTTCCTATTCAAGAGCTGAATTGACGGCAGGACTCTATCTCAGTGCCGCGTTTTGCAGTAAGTGCACAGAGGGGGGCGTATAGCCCCAGGTTGGCAATAGGTTTGATGGCTCCAGCGGCTTGTCTTTAATTAGGCTTGGCTTCGCAAGCTCCCTGGTTTGGTTCCCCGCCTTCTTGCAAAGCAACAGCAAGGTGCTTTAGTGTTGGCGGACTCCCCCACACATTGGAAAATTTTGCCTTACGCTCACTGCCGCTCAGCGTTGGGCTTCGTCTGGTGGCGTCGCATGTGCTGCTGTACTTGTTGCACTTGCCATTGCAAACTAGGGACCAGCCGAACATGGCTTTGTCCCCCCGGCTCTCCATCTGGCTCATTTGGCTTCATCGCTCCCAAGCGGCGTTTATGCGGTGGCTTTTTCTCCGGCTCGTTCGGTCTTTGTGACCCAAGTGAGCACGGGGGTTCACGAGCTTCCCGGTCCCCCTCCTCATCGGCGCTGTCGTTGGTCTCCGCTTCTTGTGTTGAGGGTGCACTAGCCGGTGTGCCAATCGACTTCCTCGATCGGCTCCAGCTCCCCGCGGTGGGCTTCTTATGCCGGGCTTTTTCCCCCGTCGTTTGCCCCTCCTTTCTCGCATCCACTGTCGCTTCCTCGTTCTTCTGCGGCCTCTGTGTGATACTTGGTGCGCTGCTGCCCGCTTTGGCGGAGGTTGCCGCTTCCCTTCTCGCCTTGATCAGCCGTCTTATTCGACGGGCCTTGTCGAGGAGCTTCTTGACTTCCCCCGGGAAACGGATCACGTAAGCTCGAGTCTCCTGTGCTACGTGTGGGAGGTACTTGTCGGCGGTCTTGGCCAGCTTGTCAGCGTGCTTTGCTGTTTGGCATCTTGCTCGGTGCCTTTTTCGAAACTGCTCGTATTCCTCTTGCTCTTCTTCAGTCAAGGGTTGTCCGGAGTGACCATGGCACCATCCCCCTTCTTCTTGGACAACTTCGCGGTCTGCCCATTTGTCGAGAGGACCGGGCAGGTAGTGTAGTCCGATCCCCCCGGGGTCACATAGGCTGTCATCTGCTCGAAGGCACGTGTTGCAGTCTTGTGCGGTCTCCTTTTTCCCCTCTTTCTGGCTGCGGTTGGCTTGCCGTGCTTCTGCCATTCGACCACACTATTGGCTTGTTCCCCCGTGCCTCTGACCCGTGGAACCTGCATTGCGGATCAGATCTCTCATGGGTCTTCCTCATGCCCTGTTGGCACAGTCCTCCTCCTTCTCTGCATATTCTGTAGGTTTTCTTGCCTCCTCCTCCTCTCTTCCCCATGTTCTTCACTATCTTCTCGGCCTTGCCAGAGTCACGATCTTCCAGTACTCAAACTCCCCCGTCCAGCGAAAAAGTTGTTATCGCGATACTCGGCAGTCTTTTCCCGAAGGTCGTTGGTGCAGACGAGTTCCCCCGTTGTGTGCAGAGCGTTCACGAGGAAGATCCTGCTTTCCCTAGGTCGTCGCACTACAAGTAGTATCACGCACTTGCCGGTCACCTTTATGGCTCGCCCCCTGTGCTAACCTGGTGTCCTTAAGCAGTGTGGCGGCAGGTATGCGACTCAAGCACCGCTGGGGAAAGTGTGCAGGCTCCCCGAAGGTGTACAGCCTTTGGGTCAACCTCACACCTCCCCCCGATGCAAGGAGGCGGCACAGGCCTCCGAGCAAAGGTGCAGTACTTGAGCCAAAATGGCTATTCTCTCGCTCTCTCTCTCTCTCTCTCTCTTTCTTTCGCCTCTCTCTCTCTCTCTCTCTCTCTCTCTCTCTCTCTCTCTCTCTCTCTCTCTCTCTCTCTCTCTCACGCACACACCTGCTGCGCCATTTGAGCGCAGGAAGCGGAGGGCACGCACGGTGCTTCACGGCTTGAGCCACACAAGCACATGGCAATCGAAATGACATCTGTGCTATCACAGGAAAGGTGGAAGAGGCATGAGCTTTCTCGCTCGAAGAGCCTTGGCGTCCCGAGTGCTCAACATTTCGCTGAAGACCTGCCGCTGCACTGCCTGTGGCCGAAACATCGCCACGATCCAGCGCCGGGTCCTGTCGCCCGTCGCCGCCAAGCACCGCGGCACCAAACACCCCTCGAAGGCGCTGCCAGCTCAAACAGACCGTCTTCTCCTCAGAAGCCTTAACCCCTGAACACCCAAACCCCTCGATCTCTAAACCCGTCATCCATTAGACCCGAAGTCTTTGGATTAGAACTGGGATCTCATCATGTGTGCTGTGGTCGAGGCTAGGCTAGAAAAACCTTGGCGCGGGCCCGAGCGGCCATCCGGCTGAGCGAGTTGGAAATTCGAAGGATGACGCTTACAACCCTAAACCATGAAGCCACAAGCCGCCTGTATCCGCCACCTATGATCTTTTGCGAGAGTGTGGACTTCGAAATTTGGCGCACCGCCGATTCAAAATGGATGCGGCCAGGGCCACCCATCATTAGCGGGGGTGGCTACTGTTGTCAGATGGCTTCAGTCTGTTTTATCCCTCCTACCTAGCAAGACGACACGCGATGGCTTTGGAAACAAATGTTTGAAGGCGTCTAGTGCTCCCAAAAAACAATGCAAGATGCCCACAGCCGGCCGACAGCACGCCTCGGACAGAGCTAATTGCAAGAGGGGCCTCCCCGAAATGTTGTTTCGAACCGTAGGTATCAACCAGCCGGAGAGTCGTGTTTTCAGTCGCGCATTTTTGCGCGGCAAGCGCTTCAGACGGTCTAAGTAACGCCCGGTTGCCCATGCTGCATGACTTGCCGATTGCCATCTTGCTCACTCCTTGTAGATGAACCTGCGAATTTCACATCTGCTCTCCATCCCCGCAACCTTCCTCCGACTGCATCTGTCACACGCAAGCTGTGCAAGCACTGCACTGTGTCGCAGTGGCATCTGCCGTGAATCTGCTTCGGTGCACTGACCATCATCAGCACTGAGAGCATGCAGCCGAGCGTCGAGGTATGTTTGGAGTTCTCCCACTCGACAGGTGGCTTGTCCCCGCTGCCTGCAGAGAGAAAATGGGCAAGTCTGAAATTCCAGAAGATACATGGCGAAGCTTGCAACGACTCGACTATGCGCAACAACAAGCACTGCACGTGCCGGTAGCTCATCTTGCAAAAACAGAGTCAGGACAGGTCTCCTCGATAAGCTGCACGTGCCCATCTGACCGTCTCTGGTGCAACAGCATGCTGGGGATGCTGCCACCATATTCCGTGATGAACTCCTCTAGGCTGTAGGCCTAGATTGCTGGACAAGCAAGCGCCAGCATGCGCCAGCACTTGGTGTCTAGCAGTTTCCAACTCTCCCAACTCCCACCGGTAGTGAGCCCTAGATCGGGCGCGGCCTGGCCATCCGCTGGGTCAATTCGCCTTTCAATGCCCTTGGCCAAGATCCTCGCCTTCCACAATGCGCAATGAGCTTATGCCCCTTACTGTCAAGTCATCTAGACCTCCGAGCAGCAATCGTACAAGCATAAGCATTTCACTGCAGCACGCCTTCTTGACCTCGGTTTCATCATCGCTGAAACCGAATTCTTCTTCCTCTTCTACTTGCTTCCGCACTTCGCCCCTCTTCCTCTTCTTGTCCTTGCAGAGGCAGGCAATTTCTCGCCTTACCGTTGACCCTGCGTCCTTGCATGCCGTCCTTCATCTCCACATGGACCTCCGGAGGTGGCGGCAAGGGCGGCGCAGCATCCTCATCGTCGTCAGAGTCCAGCACCTGCGACCCACATCGTGCTGTCTTTCTGCCGCCGCCCTCGCCATAGCGCAGAGAGACGTCAGTTCCCTGAGGACACCGCGCTGATTGGGGCATACTTTCGGAACAGCTCGAAGTTGTCAGACTGCAGCCTGTTCTGTGCAGCAGTGCTTCCTGCTGCTGCAACTTGGGACTAACAAACTGGGCGGCAGAACACAAGTCTGCCAAATCTTAGGCGTCTCCTCTCTGAACAGAAACTGTCACAGCACATGGAAAACTCGAGAAGATCTGCAGTGAAGCCGCTGCTTTTGCTGCTTTGGGCTGAAGAGGTGTATGTGGCCACGGATGAGATTGAGGCAATCGGTGGCGATGCTGCCCTGTCAGAGCAACCAATCTTTCGACCCCTACCATCTGGACACAAAACACGCAAGACGGAGACAGTGAAGGCTCTCGAAGCACCACTGGGCCCCTTTTCTGGCCTTGAGGCCTTCGAGAAATCTCCTGTGAGCCACGACGTTGTACCTCAGCAGTTCTTGCTAGAAGGGCCAAGCAATGCACCTGCTTAGGAAAGCGGAAAGACTGCGTTCCACTGCAGCAGGAACGAAGTTCTCCGCATGCGGTCCTAGATCTCTCCCCACCAAGGAAATAAAGCCGTTGTTTTCGAGCTGCAGTGGGTTCGGCTTGATCCGCCCCTCTTTCGCCGCCTGCACCAGAAACACTGATCTTCAGTCTTCACCTACGTGGCACTAAGCCCTCCTGCCTTGCAGGCTTTGAAGAGCCAGCGTAGCCTGTCCATCGGCTTCTTGGGAAAGATCTCTTCCCACCTCGCTGTAAATTCTCACGAAATATCCAGAACTCCGCGAAAGACGGGCAGATCCCACAAGGCGCGCTTCTGAAGCCAAGTCTTTGCTGCCGCCACGGCACGACATGGTAACGTACTCCTCCTGTTCTTTCACCTCCTCTTCTTTCGTCACCTGGGTCTACTGAGTCTCGTCTGGCGCTGCAGCTGACACACCCTTAGTCGATATGCGAGACCCAGCACGCCCCGAACATGTTCGTGCGCGATGACAAACAGTCAAAAGCAGGCAAGTCCGTTTGCGGTTTGGGCTTCTTCCTGGCTCCTGCCTGTGAATGTACAACTCTGGGCTTGCAGGAGCTTGAAGGAAATCTCCTGTTGCCGCGTCACCTTTCGCTTTCGTCTGGTAACGACCTGCCAGCAAAGACAAACCCACACAGCTGAAAGCCGTCTGCATACCGCAGGAATTAGGAGCGAACGTTACAATATCAAGATTCACCCCTGTCACTCTGCTATGTGAGTGCTGAAGCTTGCGAAACTCATGTTTCCTCTCATGCTTAGCATAACGTGTCAGTGAGGGTCGTGCTCACCTTTCGCACCACGATTTTACGTTGCCCTACCAGCGACTGCTCCGCTGCTTCAGCACACAGCTTCCAGCAGTCTGATCGTCTTCTATCTTGTCGTAGTGACGTAGTGGTGACTGATTGTCGATAGGACATCCGGTACGATGCCTTGTACACATATCGGCAGTGACTTGTCATTTGGGTCTGCTTCCATCTTCGTTGCTGTAACCGGCTGCGACAAAGCTTCATAGAATTGGACGCATGGATTCTCAAAGGTGGCCACTGGTGGCCACGGACTGTTGGGTGAACAGCTGGCACGGGACTCAACGGGAGTGGGCTTCGTGCGCTTGGCCTCGGCAGGAAGTGGCGCCTCTTCGCGAGGCGCATCATCAGGGTCGTCCTGTTCGCCAAGTGCAGGCATCTGCTGGGACTGTCGCAGTGAAAGCTTGGTGAAAGTCTGGAATACAAATGGGAGTGCAATCTAGTTCTACTCAAGTTATACAAAACCCACATGCACTAGCAGAGGGGCGTTGCATGCTTCATCAAGTGTTTGACAGATCAGAATGCCCAGTGTACCTGAAGATCGAAATGCTGCACAACCCATTCACAATGCTGGCACTTCGCGTACGGCGTAGTGGTAGTCCGGTTGATCCAGTCACAACTTATTGGAATCCGTATCAAGACTGCGTGTCTCCTGCTGGCTTCTTGCAAATTCCCTCCACGCCTAAAAACTGCTGGCTTCGATCTACCCGACAAAAAACATGCGACGAGCGACACTAACCTCAGACATACGTAAGCTGAGGATTGGCGAGCGCGTCTGGCTGCTAGCTGCTACCAGCATGTCTCAGAGACACCATCAACTCCCATGAAGGCCCTCCGGCTACGCATCCCGGAAAGCAGGCCGCTGCAAAGTCCCTTCTGCTGGCCGCCTCGCCCCAGGCAGGTTTATCGCCCATGGAGGCTACCTGAGCGAGGAGGGATTCCTAGGTCCTAGGTATGACAGCAAGGTGTGTCCAAGCTCCGCTTCTGCGGCGGCTGATCAGTCTCTGCATCCCGAATCTAACACGCAAAACCTGCTGTCGGCCAGAGGTGCGTGCGTGGCGTACTGCTTCCGCAAGTCGCCAGCGCTAAAGATGAGTTTTGGCTGCGGCCAAGCGTTCGTGCGTGGCAAGAGCTACCAGCATAGGTCACATAAACCCGAGCATCGCTTTTGCACCTGAAATGCTCCCGCATGAACATGTGGTTCAACACAGCACCAACAAAGCATCAAGATTCCTTTCTGGTGGGGGTTGTGCTGAGAGAACGAAGACTCGTGAATCTCGTGTGAGCACATTTCTGCATCACTGAGAAGAAAATCACAACTCTCTTTGGATATCGTTTGAAAAGCGCTCCCTTTGGGCACAGCTTGACATAGCCTACATGGACAACCAAGGCTCCTCTCGGTCCTCCGCGTCTGCACGCAGTGGTGCCAGCGGCGCAGAAACGGCAGCTGGATTGCTCGCATCCGTATCAGAACCAGATGCAGAATCTTCAGCATCAAGCTCGAGCACGAGCAGATCGATATCTGACGGGACGCTGTTCGAGCCCTCAGATTTGTCCATATTCGTCGATTCTTGGGCCTGGGTCTGCGTCGACTTCTTGCCCAAGTATTCATGCACGGCTTCAATTCGTGTGCTGAAGTACTCGGGTGGGCAGAAGTGGTCGCGGTTGTGCACTAACAGATCTCCGAGCTGCGCGAGGCTTTGAATGAGAATTCCTGCATCCCGTCTCTTGCGGATCTTCAACAGCTGCACAACCATGACTGCATACAGCCCAGTCAAAGTCTCGACCACCCGGATCTTGTCGCAAGGAACCTCCTCTCAGGATGCAGTCTTATGCCCTCTTCTGCAGCAGTCCAGCCGACCTCCATAAACATCCAGCAATTCTGCGAAATCTTCTTTCAGGCCATTGGGCCCAAGGAAAACTAGAGGCTGCAGCTTGCCTTCGCACACGAGGTACAAACGCTGCTTGATGTCGAAGCCATCATTTTGAAAGGTATCCAACATGGAAAGGTCTGACATACTCTCGTTGGAATCTGAAGCGATCGTGCTGACTCTGCTCACCCGGGAAGTCATCAACAAGTTGTCGTGCCCTGTGTGCCCACGACTCATGGCAGACATCAGTGCACAGAACACCTCCAATCTGCACCAAAATCTGGTGGAGTAACTCGTGATTGTTGTTGTTGTTTGAAGAACGACAGCAGACTGGCACCCGAAGGCGGTCTCGCTGCCTCATCTGTGCCCGAAGGCGCAGCCAGTCACTGAGCGACCGCAAAATGCCATCACAGCCCTGCCAAAACGAAACCCGAAGAGGAAACAGCTCCAGACCTCGAAGTGAAACTTGAAAAAGCTCAGCCCGCCAGCGCTGCAGCGCGAGCGCGAGGGTTGTAAGACTCGAGAAGCGCCTCTCGAAAAGGTGCAGTCCGTTCCAGCTGAGTACGGTGAGCCGCCGCAGCCCAAACTCCACAGTTCTTGATGTGCTGCACTTTGTCCTCGAACTCGCCCTTGAAGCGGGCCAGCTGCTGTGTAGCCAATGAGTCGGCCTTGTCATTCAGCCGTCTGCAAACCTCAGCTGTGGGGAAGCCGTCAGGGGGCTGCCACTCGGTACGCTTTCCATGCGAGGGGATCCAGGCAGGCGTAATCAGTTGACAAGCGCCGGCAATGCGTCGCCATATCTCCCACGGGTCACCCGCCTCACACCTGGACCTCCCAGCGGGAAGCCGCTGCACAATGGGCAAGTTGTCAATGAGGAGCTTGCCCTGACGATTGGCACGAGTCAGTGCCACCGCCACGATCAGAAGAGCAGTCCGCTCGCCAGCCGCAGCAGTCTGCTCCGGTCCTGGCACCAGCCCAGAAAAACATGCGCCCTCGTAGAAGACCACCGCCCAAGCTGCCCTCTGGTGAGCATCCAGTCCAGGATGGACCAGGCAGCCGCCGTCGGTGGCAATCACGATGTCAAAGTTGAAGGGGAGCCGCTGCACCCAGCGCGCAACCTCCTCGATGCTCGCCTCCACGTCGCCGTCAACGAATGCGGGGGCCACCAGTCCCAGGGGCACCAGCAGCCGGCGCTCGACTGCAGTGCGTCTCGCTGCCGTCCACGGGCGGGCCTCGCAGTCGAACGTCACGTGAGTGCGGGACGGCACCTGCTCACCACAGTCACAAGGCAACGCACACTGCCTCCTGGCCAAACCTCTGCTGTCCACCGCCGCAGCCGCAAGCACGCGAAGACCAGCCCAGTTGGTGGCCTGAGCCTCCTTCTGGTGAAAACTGAGCACCAAATCCTCTGCCACCTGCTGCCCCGCCACCTTGGGATCACGTAGGAAAAGTCGACGAGTCCAATCATCACGAAGCGCTCGCCGCAGGAAGGCCTGAGAAACCTGGCCTGGATGGAAAGCTCCATGCGGCGTATTCCACACATCTCCCACAACGGTCCAGCCCATCTCCTTGAAGGCAGCCAAAGTGCGCGTAGCCATAGCCAAGTGCCTGCCGTCGCGGAGCCGTTTCCTTTCGCTAAGCAAAGTGGCCTCAGTCAAAGCAAACTCGGGATGAAGGCTCACCGTAGCTAAAGCCGACCAGAAAATGGCCGGAGATTTGCCAGGAGGGGGAGCGCGGCCCCAGACAGCAGACTCGATGTGGGTACGCCACTGATGCAGGTTGTGTTTGTAAAACCTCACCCAAGGTGCGCACCAGCGAAACAGCGAAACCACCATGATGCCCACAAGGAACGCTCGCTGCTTCACAGTAGGCCCAGCCCAGCGAATGCGCCTGCATCGGCGCACAAGCTTGTCAGTGAGGACGCCAGCGTTAACCGGGTCGGCGCGGTCCACGTTGTATTTGACTCCAAGCAGCGTGAAGGTCACCTGGGGAATCCCAACCACGTCAGACATTGCAAACAGCGCCTCACGGGTGCCATGAGAAGTGCCAAAGTACTCAAGTTTGTCAGGATGGAGCGTGAACCCCATGACGGCGTCAGCCCGTCCGCCTTCCAACATTGCCTGATGCACTTGCGCGGCAGGCCGGGCACCACGGTGCCACAAAGTCCGGTCGTCAAGAAAAAGCGCGAACTGGATCCTCGGAGTACGAAGGCGAACAGTGCGGCACCACACAGCCATTAGGCAGTTCAGCATGAGCGGGGACAGCGGGCATCCCTGGAGAAGTGCCGCCGCGTCCTTAACCGGACGAGGTGCCACGAAGCACTGGTTCGTGATCCAGCGTTCATGGCTCCTGTAAAAATGCTCCAGCAGTTCAGCGGCGACCGGTGGGCCACCCAACCACTGGAAAGCTTCGGCTGCAAGAGTCGGCGATACCGTATCGAAGCACTTGCGAATGTCCGCCTTGCAGCCAGCAAGAGGGCCTCCGCGTCTCTGCACAAACATGTCACGGCAGAGGGCAGCATGGTCATCTGAGGTGTCCCGGCCCGACACTCCGCCACACAGCTCAACAGGAAGGGCACGAGTGGCCCACGAAGTTAGCTGAGCCACCAGAGCACTCGCTCCCAACCTCCACGCCAGAGCAGCTGTGGCTAACGGCCGTGTGCCGCCATCGGACTTCGGCATGAGGCACACCCTAACCTGCAACCACGGAGCCGGAATGCTCCAAGACACGTTGCCAAATGCCCGCCAGCTTGTCAAAGAACTGCCGCGGCAGTGCGGCCCAGAGCTTGCCTGTCCACCCATCGCAACCTCCAGCTTACGAGCCGCCGCTCGCACACGTCTGTAGAGGTCCTCGCCTTCAATGGCCAAGACACCTTGGCAAACGGGCCCCACAACAGGAGGCCTGCCCTGTCCAGGCTGTGTTCCGAGCTCACGAAGGCAGTCCCAGAAAGGGTGGGGGGGTGGCCTCCCCCTCCGGTTCCACATACGATCCCACTTGGCCGCCTCCTCAACAGCTCTGGCTTGAGGGTCCGGGTCGTGGCCGAAGTGGTCCATGCCGTGAGTGGCCTCATCCTCCGTAGCGCGAATCCAGCGCGCTAGCCGTGGGAGGTTGCACTTAACGTCCTCCCGCCACCGCTGAAGCCTGGCTTGAGCCGCCCGGCGCGCCTCCTCCGCCGCCTTGTGGTTCAGCACCTCCGCCAACTTGCCATAGCCCTGGTCATAGGCCTGGATGATGTCCGGGTCGCGGCGGGCCAGAGCGTAGACGTCCTTAGTCACGCGCCACACGACGTAGCCTCCGCTCTTACAGGGTCTGAGCCTTAGCCACCTTTGCATGGTGGTCCTCCTTGAGCACAGGTTTGCCCACAATGCCACGGGGAGGCGCCGTAGGAGCACGAGGCGCCGCAAGGAGCTCCTCCGCCGCCGCAGAAAGCGAAGCCCAAGCCAAAGTAGTGTTGCCCGCGGCGAGGTGGTTAACGTATTCCCGCTCATGGATCGGCCAAACATCACCCCAATCCAGGCCCGGCTCGGGAGTGAGGAAAAGTTGCGACTGCCATCGCCAACCTCGCAGCCCACTTTGCAGTGCCACCCAATACGACACCACATCGTGATCCGCTGGCCCCAAAGCCTGTTGCTGCCGCCCACCGCCATGCCTGGACTAGCGATGCCGTAATCAATGACCCGGCGCGTGTAATCACCATTGTCCCTCCTCCTGGCGCCCTTCTGATCCGCAAAGGGGTCAGGGTCCATAGCAGAGACCCGGCCAGCAGCCAGCATGGTCGCCAGCGGTTGTTGCCGAGCCTCGCGATTCCAGTCGCCGAGTATCATGAAATCCTCAGCAGTCGAGCCGGCCCATTCGCAAACATCTCTCACCATGGATTTGTTGAGGCTCTCGTTATTGGCATGGAAGTATAGCCTTTAAGGATGAGAAGTGGTCGCATTCCTGGTCTATGCATCTTTGCCGCCATGAGTCGACTGTCTCACTGCAGCTCCGAGGGCAGCTGGATCTGCTCGATGGGCCAATCCGCGATGATTGCGACTCCGCCGCTCGGCTGCCCACGTGCATCCCACCCCTGAGGTCCTAAAAGCAACTGCCAACCAGCATGCCGCAGCGCCTGACGAATGGCATGAAGGCCCTCGTTGGTCACACGCGTTTCCTGGTGGCAAAGAAAGCGGATGCCCTCGTTAACGGCCATGGTAGTGATGGCCGCCACCCTCCCCGCACCCATGGTGCGAACATTGCACCGTTCCAATACGAAGGCCCTCAGCGGGCGCCATGGCCCCCACGAAGGCCCGCCTCCAGGATGGCCCGATCCGCCACATGGTCCTCCATCTCAGTGTTGCGCTCCGCTGCAATGCCGAGCTTGGCGAGGATATCACTGGCCGCTCGGCCTCGGATGCCCTCCTCTTTGACATAGTCCCGAAGCTCTGCGATGCCCTTGTCATGGCGACGCCGTTTGGCAGCATGGCACACCGCGCGGTTGGCATTGGAGAGGTTGGTCCAAAAACCCCCGCAGCGCTGGCAACCGAAACGAATCTCGAAACCCTCCCCCTTTGGCCAAGGCAGCGCATGAAGGATGTGCTCCCCCTCGGCCTCGACCGGCTGTCCCGCAACCGTGCCCTTGACAATCTCAAGAAACGTCTTCATGCTCTGGACGATCTCCGCGGTGTGCGCGCCCTCCTGGAGCTCCTTCTCGATGGTCGCCACGAGCGTCTTGCGTCGATGCCCACCTGCTCCCAAGGAACACTCAAGTTTGCCAAGCTTAGCAACCGACTCCGCCATCCGGGTGCATTTGCGGCATATCACTTGAGCAACCGCATTGCGCTTTTTCCTGCCCTCCTTGGGTGGCCGCGTGCACGGCAGCCGAAGGACGACCACGTCATGCTCGCCCGCCTTCCCCGCCTTGATGTCAATCAGCCGGCTGGCCATTGCAGCGCTCAATCGCGCCCCAGTGGCCTTCTTGAACGCCTTGTTCGCATAGGAGCGGCCGACGAAGAAATCCTTCGGGACCTCGGGGTGATACTCCTCCCTGTGCCTGAGCTTGGCCGTGTACTTCATGTCGCTAGTGGCCTCAGGGTTGTGCAGCAGTCCAAGCCCACATCCATCAGCAGGTCGCAGCATCATAGGGCGCAACAGTCACAGCCGGCGCCGGGTGCAATGAAAGCTGTCGCTTGAGCTCAGGGTGGTAGTTGATGATGTGGGTCTGCTTTTTGCGAATCCAGTCTGACCCCGGAGGCGTGCGCCATTGGCATTCCGGGCACTTCCATCCATCATGCTGCTTCGGCCGCCGCCCCAATGCCACCGGTGCGGGTGGCACCTCCGCCAGGTCCCCCAAGTCAGCGGCAACCGTATAGAGGCGCGAGGAACAGCCCAACGTGTGATAGCACTCTGATGGCCTGCAGTGCTGCTGCTCGCAGTCTCCACCTTGCTGGTGTGGGTTTGTCCGCCGCCAAAGCCTCCCCCGCCGCCCAAAACGAACCAACCGAAGCCGGCCCGCCCCACTCGCTGGCCTCCTCATCGGGCTCGTGCACACTGTCATCACCGCCGCCGCGTCGGCCCTGCCAACACCCAGGAGCCGCTGCCGCCACAATGTCATCCTGAATTTTGCCAAAGAGGCTGGAGTAGTGCCGGTCCTCGTACCACAACATGATCATCTTGTTCTCCCCCTCGCGGTTGTAGATCTCAGTTGGGGTGTCGGGCCGCATTGGATGGGCGCCGCGAGCCTCCCCCCGCCTGCTGACCTGCCGCATCGACGTCCATGCGAACAGGCTGGCCGGCGTGCTTTTCCTCCTCCTTCGGCTTGCCCCGGAACGAGTGGGCCCTCTCAGCAGGAAGCTTCCTGGTAGCCGATGGTGCCGCCGTGATGCCGGTGACCGCCGCTGTCATGTCCTGGCCGTTGACGGTAATGGCGAGATAATCCTTGCCATCCTTGCGCTTTGCAGGAAAGGTCCAGGACGCCCCCTGCCGGCCAAACTTCTTTTGCAGCACCGTGTACTCCGTGAAGTCGGCCTCCTCAAGCAGCTCCTCGACGTCCTGGGCCAGCCAAGCTTTTGGCGCTGGGCCCAGCACCCACACCCGATGCCTCGTGGCATCTTCCGGTCCTTTGGCGCATCGGACCCCCAGCTGGATGTGGCCCCTGGCTACCCCCATCTTGGCCGCGCCCGCAAGCATCCTCTTGGCATAGGTAGCATAGTCCTCGTCCTTGCCCTTGTCAATCCACTCGACCCTGGGTGGAGTCGCAAACTCAGTGGGCAACGGCGCCTCCCAACGGAGAGGCTCAACGAACCAATGCATGCCTCCGCAGTTGCGGCCCGAACACGTGGTCACAGCCGCCGCAGCCTCCGGAGTGAGGCGAGCCAATCCAGTGATGACGTCCCTGCCTTTGATTGTTTCCACTTGCCATCCCCAAGTGTCCTGCAACTCATCGGTGGCGATGCCCCGCAACCAAATGCGGGCCCTTGGCCCTGGACTTTTGCAAAGCTGTTCCCAAGACTCCTTTGCAACATAGCGGGCCTCGATGCTGAAGCGCAGCACGACTGTCTGCTTGCTGGGGTGCAGTGATGTCCTTGTTGAGGTAAAGGTGGCCTCCTTCAAGGTCGGAGCATCCGCGTGGGTCGTGATCATGCCCACCCGCCTTGCCCGTATGTGCCCGCCAATTCTGCCTGGCACCGTTGCATCCCGGACCTTCACAGAGCTAGACTTCAACTGGTACTCCTCCCCCGGCTCCGCAATAAGGGCCTTCTCCCAAACCACAGTGGTCTTGGCCGCACAAAGAGGCTCCTCCTCGCTGAAGACCTGGACCAAAGCAGGGTGGCCGCCCTCGTGGTGGACCTCATCCGCAGCCAGCACCTTAAGGTTGGGAGGCCCCTTCCAGTCGGCAGCGCGGAGCCGCCATGGAGCGGCCCATCCACCCCGCCGCCCTGTCCAATCTGGGCGCCGTGGCCCTTGCCCTTGCCCTGCACACGCGACGGATGCTCGCCCCGGCTTGGAGGTCGTCGCCTGTCCCTTTGCCCTTGCCCTTCGCCTTGCCGCCGGTGTCGTCGGCGATGGCAGCGCCGTTGATGGTCGCGGGTGCCGCCGAAGGAGGCTGAACTTCCGCTTTTTCTTCCTCTTTTTCTTGGGTGATGGCGTCGCCGACCCAGGCTGGGCTGGCGGCCCTTGCCCGATCAAGCCACCCAACTGAGCCACAATGCCTGCCAGGTTGATGCCCTCGCCGTCCTGGAGCAGCTTGAGGATGAGCTGGAGGAGAACCTGCACAATGTTCAGGCTCTCCCTTTCCCTGCGCTTCTTGTCGGTGACGTCCGCGCCCGGCCCTGGGTGGCTGGCTTCACCCACTCTGCAGGCTCTCCATCCCCACCTTCTTTTGAGCAGGATCTCGGCCCACTCTTCGAAAACGGTGCTCGGCATTCGTAGCCCCAAAATCGCCGGCCTCATGATTTCCCGCCCCAGTGTGGCCACCCTCGTTGCCTGCCATCTCCACGTTCCATAGGAAAACCGTCATGACACAGTACTTGATCTCCGCATTCACGCACCCCAAGCTGAAGGTGCCCCAGTGGGCGTGCACCGCCCAGCTTTTGCCTGGTTTCGGTGACGCCTCGAGGGGCACCAGGGGGCGGTTCTCAATGCCACTGGAGTAACTCGTGAAGTTGCTGGGTACTTTCGAGTCGGCATGAAACACTTGCGGGGCGATAACGATAAACTCAGAGCATGCTGTTACGTAGGCTGGTAAGGAATTGACTGCACGCTGCTGCTGATCTGCAGATCGCTGCGGTATACTAGAGTAATCCACCCACACGTACATTTTATCCGTTTTCAAGCGCCTTGAATGGACCAGCTTTTGGATCGCTTTGGTCATGTCCTCGAAATGCTGCCGACTGGGATCGGGCGATTCCGAGGAGAGCCACTGATGCGAAAAGAAAATAATGCAGCCCTTCCTGCAAAGCTTGGCAGCTGCCCCCGGCGTGTCCAGCATAGTCAACAGCTTGCTGTCTCGCAGCGTCTCATGTTGCACAAGCTTGCCTAGCTTAATGAACTCAGTGGCCCGAAGCAATGCCATGGGGAACTGCATTTGCCTGCATCGCCTCATAAGTGGTTTCGTCTGTGTCACGAAATTCCTGTGTCCAAGCTCCTGCTCCATGTAGGCTCTGTCCCTCACCTGAATGACCTCCAAGTATAACGCATTCCCGGTCATAAGAATGATGTCTAGCACCAGCGAAATGATTATAGGTGGCTCAGCACGAACTTCTGCAGGTGCCCAAACTATTTGCCATGTCCAGCCCTGCGAGTCGGCCTTGTAGGTGATGGGAAGAAGACCCACGTAGTGGACAGAGCTGGCCAGGATAGCCACGAGCCACGCAACGCCGACGCGCCACGGCGTGGAGTTAGGGAGGTAAATCACGAGGGCAATGATCCCCGAAGAACAGATCACGGCCACCAGAACTGCAACTGCCAGCAGTCCCGCGTCGAAGTGGAGTACGAAGGGCCCCCTTGCAGCTAGCGTTCCCACGTAGTGCATAGTGCCGATGCTCACGGCCAACAAGAGCGAGGCGAGGGGCAATCGAACAGAAGCCTCTCCATCGAGTGCAGCACGTTTGTCGGCTGCTTTGCGGCCCAACGCAACATGTACGGCCAGTGTTGAGAGAAGCCAGGCTATCAGTGCAGATACTGTTGTGGTCACCAAGTCGAAGCTCATCTCAAGTTGCTGCTTGCCACCAGATTCGGCCCCACCACTCAGAAACAGACTGCGCTGGGCAACAAAATGCATGGCCCAAATAGTTGACACCCCTAGACCAAGTCCACACTGGCACAACAAAATGAAGTACCACTTCGAGTTTCGAACCTTTCGTGTGTATGCTGCTGTCGTTAATGTTGCAAAAGCACCGATGGCTGAGACCACAATCGAAGCGAACACCAGGACACCGTCAAAATGCACTCCAACAACTTCCCCTTCCATGTAGTCCGAGGGCAGCTGCCAAAGCCTTCTTGGAAGTTCGGACTCGCCCTTAGAGTCCTCGGATTCCTGTAGTAAGCGGGCCATGACCGGCGACGTGAAAATTGCCAGCACCGCCACCACACATCGAGAAGCGGACACTCCCATGGCAGCACGGACGCCTTAAGCGCACTTGTGCCTGCAGCCGCTGCCGAGAAACTTGGACCGGAGCAAGAGCATCATAAACATGCGGTGACATCCGAATCATACAAGAACTGCCAAGATGATGCGGGATCATCGTGGTTCATGTCTTGTGCTTGCATGTGCGCATAGATGCATGTGTTCTGGTTGTGCAACACTTGTTTCGTTTCGACTCTCCCTCTTCTTTCTCCTGGGCTTAAGGGACCGGGCCGCTCCATCTTCGTTGCACTTGCTTGCGTGCTTGCTTGCATGGGGTCTGAGCTGGGTCTCCCAAGCCCGCACTTCAGCGCCACTCACTCGATCAGGAGAGGACTTTGGAGCCAACAACTGCAGAAACCCCAACCGCACATCTGGCCAGGGCTGCTCTGCATAAAGTTGACGCGAGGACTGGCGCCACCATGAACACTCGCCGCTAGTACGAATCACATCCCCACGCCCCATACAGGAAACAACCTTATTTGGCCTGGGTACATCATCGCCTGCATCACCGTCATGATGAAGCTATGCGGGTCTCTGTCTGTGTGCGTCTTTGCTTTGCTCTGCTCGGGGGCATGAGCCAAGGACAGTGGACAGACGGGCTGTCGGCTGTACTGAAAGAAGTCAGATGCCCCACAAAGCGTGTGCCCCATAGGGGGGGGGGGGGTGCTTGCTAGCAGCACTGGTAAATGTCCCCGGGCTTTTGATGCCGTTTGGAGGTAAAGTTCAGGCTGGAGTGAAAAACATTCTTTAGTTACCGGCCCTGCGAATCTCTTGTTGCTGCGGGCACACCACTCAGCTGGTTGCGAAAGGAAAGCGTGCCCTCCAAAGCCTCTCTTGCTTGCTTGCTTGCTCGCTTGCTTGCTTGCTGAGGGGTTTGGGCCCGGGTAGGAACCCTGGCCCGAAGGCATACCCCCTCCACAGTCCGCGTCTCAAGGTATGTGCTCTCTCTCTCTCTCTCTCTCTCTCTCTTTCAAGGACCAGGGGGATCCCCACCCCCGCCCCGCCCCCATACGGGGGCCCTGTCTGCTCCGTCAAGGTTGCTCGGCGTGAAAGCTCCTGCACGGGAGTACTGCGCGGGGCTCTCCCCACATCAGCCAAACATCAGAAATACGACCCAATGCACTAACAGTGCACCTTAATACCGCCTCTCTCCCTCTCATTCATCGGCAGCCTTGGCTGGTTGGGTGAAGCTGCAAGACAAAGCCTTCCCACCCTGCATGTTCCTGGCCAGCCACGAATGCCACTCCCTCTCTGCATTACTCCCGATCGAAACTCTGGCCAGGGGCCATGCACCGTGCAAGCTCACAACTTGAAGGAACTTTCGGCTTGCAGGGGTGCTTGTCGATGCTTTCGCAAGCAGCGGCGGTCGAAAGTCAGGAGCAGCACATTGGCTGTAGAGAGACTCGCTCGTGAGTTCTGAAACCGATCGAGCCGATGTGAGCACGACTTCATGGGGCTTCAGGCCACTCCAAGAATATCTGGCATGACAGTTGCAAGTGGCACTGCAAGTATGTATGAACTCTGAGGAGAGCTCTGTTCAGAAAGGTGACACTGACGGCAACTCACACGCGTCTTGTTGGGATCTTCTTCTTCTCGCGCGCCGCGAGCTTCTTCTCCCTGCGCTCCTGCTTGGTGCTTGTCTACTGTTGCTATCATGTCAGGGTTGGCATGGATTCCCGGCGAACCTCCAACTTGTGCCTGCCTGTCTTCCCCTTCTCCTGCCAGCGAAGCTCTGCTCAACAAGGCTTGTTGGCTCCGCGACTCCGAAGAGGCAAATTCTTATGTTCTCAGAAGGCCAACTGTTGGCATGTTACAGGCCACACACGTAGGTGCTTGCACCTGCGTGGGTATAGCAAAAGCCAGGTAACTACCAGTTCCAAACTAACGATCTGTACAACTCTCTGCAAACACACCACTTGCAGCAGCTAGCGCCATTCCCTTCAAAACCTTCCCAAAAGGGTGTCGTTGCTCACAAAACGCACGGCATTGAGAGGCCATATTATTTAGCACGCTTCAGACGCTTCCCCATATCAGCCAGTTCCTTCAGAAAGGTCAAACTGTGCTACTCGCTCATCCGAGGTTACATGACCAGCGCAAGCGCGAGGGATTCGGGTTTCTAGGGAAATTCCACAAGAACAAGGAGTTAAGACACAAACACACACACACACACAATCACTACCCACCCCGAACTACAATACATCATGTGCGTGACCTCAGCAAGGGCTCAACAGGAGGACACCTAGCCGAGAGAGAGGCAGCGACGAGAAGGAGCAGCATGAGTGTGAAGCGAGACCGCAGAGGTTCACAGCAAGGACGCAGCAGCGTCAAGGAGAAGCAGTGTAAGGCAAGGAGGTGGAAGGCAGCACCAAGGCGTAACAGGAAAGTGCCGTGCAGGCCGTGACAGGGTTTTTGAACGGGAGCTAGCAGGGGCCGGTAACTGTCAAGAGGCATCGTCCGTGGTGCTTTGCCTTTGCTCTCTGCGCTTGGCTATTTCAGCTTATTGATCGGGGTCGCCTCCTTCTTCTTCTTCTCCACTAGCAGCTGTCTCGCTGCCTTCTTCCGATGAAAATAAGGTACCTCATGTCACAATTGCTATCAGACCCTTGTAAGTTACGGAGTGCCCCTTCAAGTTCAGGAGTCTCATGGTATATATAACGACGATTAGGGCTCATATGGAAGGGGGTACTGTAGAGAGGCTCCATGCAGGGCGAATCTGAATTCGTGCCTTGCCAGTCTCCTTCACCTTCTGCCTCTCCTCGGCCTTCAGCACCCTCTCGGCATCTTGAAGCCGACCGATGTGTTTCCTGCGGCATCGCGACAAGCACTGTCGGATTGAAGCCAAAGCCCAGAGCTGGTGCCCTGGACCAGAGGAAAGCAGGATCCCTGACCCCGGCCTCTGCTTGTCCTGCTGCACTCGGTGCTTGATCCTCAGTGCCCCAGCACACGGCTTCCAATCATCTCCCTGCGCTACCAGACCAACTAGTCGTGCATCCAAGAAGCTCTTTCGCAATCTCGTCCTCCTGTGCCGCTATCATCGAATCCTGCTTTCGTTTGTCTCTCTCTCTCTCTCTCTCCCTAAGGCCCCCCCAGAACACAATTGCTTGTATATTTCTTGCACTTCACGTCGTCTTGAGGGATTTGGGCGGGAGGGGCTGAGAGCTCCGAACCCTCCGTTACAAAAAAAGAGGATGTGTGCAATGTTCCTTGCTCGTGTGAGTTCCGCCGCTCTAATGCTTTGCGTGCGTGGGGCTCCAAACCAGCGCAGCTGCGTGGTTTGCTCCGCTGCTGCCTCCTGGGCAGGTTTGCCGGTGCCTCCTGTCGTGACCATTGTGTGTCTGTCCTGCTCTGTCCTGCTGTACTTCCCTCCAAAGCAAGGGCCAAGGGCAGACATGTCCGAGGCACCAGGCCTTTGGACGCTTCTTGCGCAACTCTTGCAACCTTTGCTTGGCTTCCTTCAACTTTTCGAGCTCTTCTGCCCGGTACCTCAGGCCGAGACTTGAACGCTGATAGCGCGATCGCAATGCGCAGCAATGTTCTGACGCGAAGGTTGGATGTGCGAATGTTGCACGCCGTAATAGCATGAGCAATTGCAGCCAGTGCTCTCTTCCAGAAAAGAGTACGCCTTCCTGAGCTGGACATAACAGGACTGTCATGATGAACTTCCGGAGCGCCGATTAAACTTGCAGCATGGCTGGCAGAGCCCTGTGCCACTTCTGCGGCATATCTTCCATTTGCTGAATATGTCTTGACGCTTCAAGCCTTCCAGAGCTGGTTGACGGTCAAGATTCCCAAATCCATCGGAACTGAAAGTGCCACTGGAATCCTCGAAGCCTAAGCAGGAAAGCAGAAGGACGGAGCTTTCTTCTGAACCCCTCACCTTGCACGAAAATGCTTGTCCATCTGAGCCGAGATACGAGGGTCACGCGGACGCATAGATGCCAGCTTCAGGGGTACGTTCAATGCTGGTCGGTAAAATCACGACGTCCATTTCTCTGGAGGGGTCCGGTTCAATTCCAGGGAAGCTTGCGCGTTTAGTTGCGGTTTCGACTCAAACACTCGCTCACAGGCAGGCATGGCTTCAGGTCGGTTGAGTTGCGGTCTAGGTCGCAAACGAATCCTTGTCTCCTTGGCTGGGCTAGACTGTCAGCCTTCCGATGAAACCTGCAATAGGACCGCCATCCCTTGTGGGGGGGACGCACGAGCAACACCAGCCCTGCCCTGCATGCACGCGCTCAGGGAGGATTCAATGCCAAGGGACACGCACGCAATCGAGTCTTGCTGCGCTTGCACACTTCGGACTTCGCTGCTACTAAAAACCATTTGCTTGAACCGACGCCTCACACCTTCTTCGTTTCCACCATCCATTTCTGCACTGGTTTTCCGGGCATACTGCCCCACCTCTACCCGACCTTGACTTAACTCCCCCTCTTGCTGGGAATGCAGCTCTGGTCTTTCGGACCCAGAGTTTCTTGCTTGCTGCAGGCTGAAGGCTGACCTTGTTCTTTCTGTCGCTCGCATCCCTGAACTTGACTGGTCCCTATGTCTGACAGATCTGCACAAGACAGGCGCAACTGCCGTTCCAGCAGATGCTGCGACAGCCAGCTCAACCACGAACTGGTCAGCAATCCAGAATCCAGAAGTACAAGAACGACAGCTCGGCCATTCTTTATCCGGTGGATGTTCGCCCAGCAGGTCGCGTGCTTTTATCCGCGGGGGCAACAGTGTTTCTGTCACCCACCTAGTAGTAGTAGTAGTAGTAGTAGTAGTAGTAGTAGTAGTAGTAGTAGTAGTAGTAGTAGTAGTAGTAGTAGTAGTAGTAGTAGTAGTAGTAGTAGTAGTAATAGTAGAGTAGTAGTAGTAGTAGTAGTAGTAGTAGTAGTAGTAGTAGTAGTAGTAGTAGCAGTAGTAGCAGTAGTAGCAGTAGTAGCAGTAGTAGCAGTAGTAGTAATAGTAGTCGTCGTGGTGGTAGTAGTAGTAGTAGCAGTAGTAGTAGTATAGTAGTAGGAGAAATAGGAGAAGTAGTAGAAGTAGTAGAAGTAGTAGAAGTAGGAAGAGGAGCAGAGTTGTATCAAGTCATCTTTCAGAGTGCTCCACTCTTCCAAACATCGGACGGATTGCACAAGCTGGTGTGGAGGAGGCAGCCGCAGATGAGTTCCATAGCTACTCAGCTTTACTGGCTTTGCTACAGAACTCGGCTATGGATCCCCCCTCCCTCCACAAATCAGGGAACCCTGTGACTTTTAATTCACATCCCCCCCTCCACGAACCGGAGAGTAGCCATCTTCCTCTCTGCTAAAAGCAAGACTTAGCTCAAGCACTGCTCCGCGAGCTCTCGCCAATTGCCACGCCAGACACGCCAAGAGCACATAGGCCTTTGCACCGCTCCGTGCTGCGGCTGCTCGAGGAGGTGGTGTTGCCCGTCGTGACGAAACCTGGCGCGGGCGCCCTGTGCCGTGCGAATCCGTGCGACTCGTTTTTCCGACGGCTGTTTGCGAGAACAAGGATTTGTCCACCTTCTGGAGTCCACTCGTTGTGAAAACTGCTGGCCGTTCAGGATTGGGACATGCTACTTGGTTTCAGGATGGGTCTGTATCACTTGTTGCAGAGCGGGCTGACCAGCGTCCCTTGTCGCATGAAGCGTCACTCCAGGATGCAGAGTTGATTTGTCGCAGCATTGGCCTACAAGTGGCATCAACCGGAGCTAGAAACAACCATCTGGCAACATCTATCCGGTCTACGAACGCTTCAACAACCGTCGAACACAAGCCGCCTCCATCGGCGCTCCCTTCCTTAGGAGACAGGTGCAAGGTTGCAGCCATCTCATCTGAGCGGCTCCCAGCTGCAGCTGGACATACACTTACTTTTTCGTGCGGAGCGAAAAGCGACGTGTGACGCAACAGATTAAAGGTGGCTGGATCTCGTCTCCCGAGCATTCAGGAAGGATCCATGAGAATTGTTTATTTTGCGGGATGGTAGCACTCCGAAGGTTGAATGAAGTTGCACTGGCACGGTTTGGGTTCGGATCGCATGTGCTGGTGTGTCGCAACCTCCCAGTGCTAACCTGCGACGGCAGGTAGAGCTTGCCCGACGCAAGAGCACGAGTAGTACCGCCAGACATCCCCTGACCAAATGTTTCACATCACTCCGCTTGGAAGGGTATCTGCTAGTAAATCAAGAGGATCTCTAACATGCGGTCAGTGCTGCATTCAGCACGAGGACAAACGAAATCCTAGGTGTGCGAAGAGGAAGGCAGAAAATTGTGCCTCTGCAGACTTTCGATGTGCCAAAATATGAAGGCAGAACTGAGGCACATGAAATGGCTAGCAACTAGCACCACTGCAGAAGAGGCTGAATGCTGATGTTTGGTTCCTGGCACACGTTCAGATGATCTGCTAAAGCTGCTGAAGGGATTCCTCAACAGGCACAATGCCTGCCCTAATAGCCAGAAGCCACAGCACGCCAGCACAGCCTGCAAATTCTTGATAGTCATTCAGCTACAGGCACAGTGATGGCTCCCCAACTCCCCACCGATCGCTCTTTGTTTATGGAAAGCCAGGCTCTCTGAGCCTGCAGCCCAGCCCATCTCCAATTTGCCGACATAATCCACAGCTCCAGACAAACGGAGGAAGACGTCTCGTTCAGAAACCCAAGCCAGTTTGGCGAGACGGTCAAACTGCGGATATGCCCGTCGCAATCTGGACACCGGGCTTAGAACCAGAGCCTTTGTCCCTGGTGCCAGCGCCATTACAAAGGCGCACAGCGTTGAAAAAAACTTTTGCCATGCCATGCCTCAATGCATCTTGTCAAAAACTGAGGTGGCCTAGCCAATGATTTTAATTTCAAGCTCGGTCCCGTGCAGGGGGCCAAACTAGGAGAAACTCGTCTGGGCCGCTGTGTGCCCAGCTTGCTCGGACGGTATGTCCAATCAAAATCTCACATGTCGGAGTCCACGGCCACAGGGCCTTCTGCCAAGCCAGCACCGTGTCCTGGTTCAGGCCTCTCGCGTGGAAGCCAAAGCAATTCGACTAGGCAGCCTGAGGCTGCTTTCAACTCCCAACCAGTAGTACGTCATCAGCCTCCTCACATCAGCAGGGCGGCCGGAGTCGCGGCCACCAAACGCTGCCAGAGTGCACTGCGCAAGGAGCAAGGCCGTCGTTTTGTCACGAGTTTTTGCAGACGCGCAGCCGCTGGGGCAGTCTTAAGTTCTCGAAACTCAGGCTGGAAATGTCTGGGCTGGCCCCTGATTGCACTCAAAGGTTGCTTGTAAGTAAACTTAACTTCTGGCGGAGGGTCAAGCGTTCAACGGCCGGGCCACACAGTTTGATCGCGATATGTGACTGAAAAATCTGCCATAGGACCGGCCTGAAAGCCGTCGATGCAGAGACGTCCTGATGGAGCCTTGGATGGCTGCACAACATGCACAAAAGAGCAGAGGACGTAGGACGCCAAGCGTGGCATTGAACTCCGTAATGCATTTATCAAGGAAGCGAATGGCGGCATCTTCTAATTTGCTGATCCGGCACACACCGTGCTTCTTGCAAACATCGCGGGTGATGTGGCGGATGGTGTCGTAGCAATGGTGACCTGACCCGCAGCTCCCCATCCCAGTGAACCTGGGACAGCCTTCTTCGTGCACAAGCGGTCGTAGCAGGTACGTGGACTTGATCAGACCCACATTATCATAGGCTTTGGCTCATTTTGCCATGCCTTCACAAAACAAAAGAGACCAGGCGAATCCACGTGCACACACACACACACACTAACAGACAAACAAACAAACTGTCATTCATTCCCTCATTCATTCATTCATTCAGTCAGTCAGTCAGTCGTTCATTCATTCATTCATTCATTCATTCATTTATTCATTCATTCACTTCTTCACTCATTTACTCAATCATTTCATTCATTCAACCATGCATTTATTCATTCATTCATTCATTCAACAAATCAATCAAGCAACACCCACACCGCCCCTCACACCCGCGCCCGCACCCGCACCCACACCCACACCCACGCACCCACCCACACCCCCACACACCCACACAACACACACACGCTCACACACACACACACAACGAAGCACTGCACGCGGTCGCTTTTTGTCTGAGTCTTGCAGGATGCACTTCTGTGTCAACATCGCTGCCTTGCATCCTGCCAGACACATCTTTTCACGTCGGCTGTGCACACTAAGAGAATCGAGTATACTTGTGTTTCATGTTCGGCTGCATGCACGTTTCTCAAACGTTGAAATACGCTAGTGCTAAACACGATCCACTCGACAACACGTAG